CAGTGTCGAAGGCTTTGCTGAAGTCCAGCACTAGATAATATATGTTTGTGTTAAAATAAGGTAGTCATGTTAGTCCAAATGTTTTCATCAGAAAATATCAAGGTGGTAAGACCTGCTGATGACAGAAAGACAGGAGACATTATCAGTACCACACTGGATGCCACACAGGAGGAACTGAGTGACCTTGAAGACAGGGGCAATCAATGTACTATAGATGAAACTAGATGAAATTCAATGCAAAGCAAGACTCTTCTGGACTCAGAGCCAAGATGTTTACTCTAAGCTCATTGGCTCGAAGAGTGATTTGTCTGTAGTGCTGCCTTGAGTTTCCACTGTGTGGGCTTTGTGAGAGTCAACCCGTACATGGTTCTCAGCGTTGTGTTCAATAACAGTGAATTCAGGTTGGGACTGACTAGTGGACAGGAAGGCTATAGAGAAAATCAGGGGGTGAGAGACGTGGACTATGGCTCAAAGAGATTGTATGCTTGTAATATCACAGATGGAGAATAAAAATCAATACTTCAATGCCTTTCTGCAATGTCCCTTCCAAACTTCTGTCCCCTACGAAATCCAAGGGCTGCAGACATCCCCTGAACGGCTGTGTGAATGGCTACTGCACGTGCTGTAGCTGTGTGAACTGTTCTGTAAAAGACAGGTACAGCTCTTTGATTTAAGCGAAAGTTTTACCACAGTAGGAACTGAATAGGATTTACAGGATTTGGCCTAGAAATTGAACATTTTTGCCACCGAAGTTTTATGGACATTTTTCATGCTCTAAATTAAGCTTTGGTTCACATAGTCTGTTTTAGCTCCTTTTTTTTTTTTCCAGTCACAGTTTTTCTCATAGCGCAGCTGTGGCATTTGTCGTGTAGCAAGAAGGATCTGATAATCATGAAATAACCCAGATTTATGCCTGTAGTGCTGAAGTGGTGCCATATTTGTGAAAATAACTTAAAAAAAGAGAAACAATATGCAGCAGATGTGAAGGTTTTACCTTCACATTTAAGTAGGTTTATACTGTCAGCGAGTGTGGGCTTAGCACAGCCTGACAGAGTTTTAACTTGCCAGATGTTCCACGTGATCAAATAGATACTATACAGCTGTTTCCCATTCTTTTTACTGGGCTCAGATAAATACACAATAAATGCTCTGAAATATGTTTATTGTATTTTGGCTAGTGTTGCAGCTGTTGCTGCAGAGAACTTACTTTTATCCATGGGCACTGAGAACACGGGAGGAAACCAAAGGTGCTGTAGGAATGCTCAGTTTCTGTTACCGTGAGGAGAAATTAGCAGCCGTTTGGTTGAAACAACTCTGATGATACTAGCCAGGGAAGGATGAAAAATGGGGTTTTTCATCTGGTTGCGGATGATGTGAGATTAGTGGCCGTATTTACACACTGCAGAAGTGACTTCTGGTCTCCAGGCGAGCTGCGACTCCCATGGGCGGGAGCTGTCCCCCTGGGCTGGCAGTGTTGTCCTTCCTGTGGAGTTTAACTCTCAGGGGAGGTGGTGGGTGCAGCGGGAGCAGCCGTCCCACAGGTAGCTCGTGCTAATCCCAGCACAGGCTTTCAACACTGGAACGGAGACACTGGGTCGGATTCTGTATTCAGTGCAATACAGAGCACAGGGGGTCTCCAGAGCTCTTGGTGGGGCTGCCTACATCCCTCCTGTCAGCTCATACAGGTGCTGGCAGTGTGCCCCAAGTTGGCCATTTGATTTGTTTTTTAAAGACACACAGCTTTCTGGGGGTCAGTCTGAGCAACTGCTCTGAATTGTTTCAGGACTTGAAGGCCCAGGTTATGTTAACTGCCACACCTGTCAACTTGATTCAATAAGAGAGCAGCTAAATAATGAAAAAGGAAGTTTCATTTCCCTTCACCTGCTTTTCTGCTCTTGTTTCTCCTTCCTCCCCCTCCAACTCCCTGTGCTCTCCTTAGCCCTTTGACCTTACTGCTGCCTTCTTCCATCCTTTCACTGTCAGCCTCCTGCCTTTCCAGATCTTCCCTTACACCTGGAAAATTCTTCTTCTTGTCTACCAGGGGCCTTCCTTGTTCTCCTCTAAATCCTTCTTTAAAACCTTCATTTTCAGGCAGAGGAATTACTTTCATCTTTCATTAATAATCTCTTCAACATTTCTTGACTGCTCTGTTCTTTTCAGATTTATAGCCTGGTCTTGCAAACATTTACGGAGAAGTAACTGTTCAGTTAAATTGAGAACATTCAGTTAGAAGTTTGAAGGACTGGATCGTTTGTTGGGAAGCTTTTTGCAATGGGAATATTTCTCACGCTGTAAAACACAATGTTCATTTATGGTTTTATGTACATTTTTATAATAAACATTTGTGGCCTCAGAGGAGCAGTGGAACATGCATGCAGATAACTTCTGCTTTTAACTTTTATTCCCTAACTCAAGGTGTGGAACATGTTCTCACAGATTTTTAAAGGCCGTGAGCAAAGTTACTGTTGACGATATGACTTTATACCCAGAATCATATGAGAGGACAAGTACAACGTGTACCTTTGATCTTAGTGACCTTCATTGTTTTGTGTTTCAGTATTGATTTGTATTTCAGGAATCTCAAGCATCTGGACTGCCTGAGTACATAAAGATTGTAGAAGTTGGGCCAAGAGACGGATTACAAAATGAAAGGGTAATTTTTCTCTTTTTTAGGGGTGTGTTTTGACATGGATATCAGCATTACTTTCATTGTGTAAAATAGATATATTCTGCTAATTTTGTTTCTTCTGTTTTGTACCATAAATAAATTTATTGATTTATGTGTTAATAACCATATATATTGTATATTAGAATAAAGGTATATTACTATTTAGCCAGATGTTAAATCATATAATTTCTTGCTATACTTGGTTAAATAGCCTTTCTGTTACTCTACTGCCATTTTTCTCTCTGGTATTTGACTTGTCAATCAATCACAGTCTGTCATGACATAACTGGTAAATGCCATGAAACATTGGCTATCTTCATAGTATGTGTTTGTGCTACATGTGCTACTATAGTAGGAATAGTACAATAGGTTTTGTCACACTTCCTGCAGGAAAGAAAAAGAAATTACTCTTTTTATAATATTTGTCTGAAGAGTTGGTAGGGAAGCATGGAAGAAGATTGAAAGACACTATGTAAAATAGGGTACATGTATCAAAACTTGTAAGCTTACATATATCGTTGTTACTGATATCAAAGGTGTTAACAGTATAAACAGAATAGAAGAATTACTCTGCCTCATCTGTGGAGTTTTTTTTCATTTTTCTCTGGTTGGACTATTCTGTGTTACTATTTCCTTTGTCGTTTCTTTGCTAGGTTGGTGTTTGGTTACTAACAATTAGTGAGGCTAGATCTATAACAAATGACATGGAAGTGCTTCCTCACTCTTTTGTGGTGGACAAAAAATGGAGTAGGATCATGTATACTGCCTAGTGCTTTCCTTGTACAGTAGCTTCCTACTGTCATGAAACAGTATAATTGTGGTATAATGTATAAGTGTAGTTCATTATTTAAAAAAAAAAGGGTTGATTATGTGCTAAGAACATTTCACTTACAAAAATTTCTTACTGCATGAAACACTTTACTATAGTATATCTCCGTGTCCGTAGGTGATAGTCCCAACTGATACCAAAATTGAGTTAATCAACCGGCTTTCCAGAACAGGCCTGCCTGCAATAGAAGTGACCAGTTTTGTTTCATCCAAATGGGTGCCTCAGGTATGTAAAATCGTCACCATTCAGAACTATTTCAATTTAAATGCCATTCCATGCAGTGGAGTTTTCTAGCAGTATAGCCTATATGATTATAGAAGAAAATGGAACAGAAATAATATGTTGTTTATTTGTAAAATAGAATGCTGTTGTCAGACACCATTGACGCAGTTTTATGCTTTTATTCAGATCAGCTGAAGTTGGGCTAGTTATTAAAAAGTAGTCAAAATTGAAGAAAAGCCAGCAAGCTATGCAGAAAGCTGGTTAAAGGGAGCAGGTTACTCCAGAAGGGAAGGGGAACTGGAAGCCAAGCACGATAACAAGGGAAGCAGAGGTTGTAGCCTTCTTGTTTAAAGGGCAGTCCAACAGTCTGTGAGAGCATAGCAAGTCTGGTGAGGGTAACCAGGGCAGCCAAGAGTACACATACTCAGGTGAGTCTGCAGGGATGCAGCAGATCCATGGTCAAGCTGGGAAGTCAACTCTGCGAGACATAGTCAGGATCCAGTCGGTAGGGTACATAGCCAAGTACAGGCTTGGCTGCTGCTGTGCAGCTGCACTGTTTCTTAGACAGGGAGGAAGAATGAGAGTGTCTCAGCTTAAAAGTTTCTTCTGAGTGAAAAGGGAGACTACTTAACAGAGCTGTTTGGGGGAGCCCCTGCTGATCTGCTTTCCAGCTTTTATTGATGAGCTCCAAGGCTGATTGAGGCTTCTCAAGTTGCTGTCTTATCAATGAGCTGGCCTTGAGTGCAGGCAGCTAAACTCTAAGAAGGGGAGCACTCCGGGCCCTGATCAACAGAATTGCTAGGAGTACAATTTGCCATGGTTGCTACATAGAGAAATCTTAAATATTGTCATTGCTCTCCAGACTTAAATAATTTAGCAGGTGATTCCCTGTTTCTTGCAGCACGAGGGTAGGAATTTGTATGAGTGTGTATATGCAAGGGACAGCAGTAAATGGGGAGTGAGAGGATTGGGTCACAGGATGCTGAATGAGGATAAGATGTGTGGGGACGATGTATCAACCCTCTGAGTAAAGGGCAGCTGGGATATAGAATGCTGAGTGTAGACATACTGATAAAGATTTGAGAATATGAAGCTGTTGGGATGCAGAGTACTGAGTTTGAGTATCCAGATGAACACCAGTGGGACTGGTCTCTGGGGAACAGTCATGGTGGAGGAGACTTCCTGTGGAAGCAAGATCAGTTCAAAGACGTAGAATCAGAGAAGGAAAACCTAGGTGCACAGGGCTTGTGCAAACTGGGGAAACTTCCCTACAGAGCTCCCTAGCACCAAACCAGGAGAGCAGACTCCCCAGGCCTAGAGGTTGTGTGGACTGTCGTGGAAACTTGACTCTTCCCTGAAGCCAAATACCATTTTTTATCTGCTGCACTTGGTACATTTCCGTGTATCTATCCACTATGCAGTCCTCCTTTTCCAAACACTAACATTATAAACATTCACACACATACAAACACACATACACTTACATGTTAAGGATTCTAGTTAAGGAGAGATGTTGCAGATTCTATCCTGATTTTGAATTTGCTCACAAAGGGGAAGTGACTTTCTGCAGTTAATAATACAGAGAAAATTCTTTACAATCAATGTTAATGTTGTACTGTGGAATGGAGACAAAGTACTTGTGCATTTTATTTTGCTCTTTATTTATGTAAATATTCAGTTGTAACTAAAGAATTGGGATGGTGACACGTTATAAATATAATTTAATGTCGTTCCTACCTCTTTTCTACTCTTCTGTGAACTAATAGTCATCGATGTAAAAAAGAAAGGTAGCATAACTTTTTTTCTTTTCCCCTAAATGAAATTTCATTTTCCACATTTGGAAGTGTGTTTAGAAGATCTAAATTTGGGACTTTTGTGTATGTAGTAGGAGTTAGGCACGTTAGTCATTTTGCAGATCTAGCACTATCAGCAGCCATACTGAGTTTTGATGAATTGTAATAATTTACTTATTATTTTTCCAAAATTAGTTTTTACATTTATTACAATTCAGCTGAAATCCCAGCCTTTCTGAACTCAGCAGCAAAACTACATAGCATTAGGAGTGCCAGGTTTTCATTTGAGGTTTAACACTGCAAATTCAGGCTTAGTCCTGAAGTATAGTATGTAGCTCCTGTTTGTGCAAACTTAATCATTCCCTGCAAGTGAGGAAATAAGTCAATACTTGTCTATGTAATTTAAACTCATTTTCAAGAAATAACGCACTTGTTTGCACAGAAACATTTGAGTACTTGTATGTTTAGTAAGGACCATACAAGTTATTTACAGAGTAAAACGTGAAAGTAATCGATTTGAGAAAATACTTTAATTTTTAACATTGTTGCACCATCTTCTGTTAAAATGTATATTGTCGTGGTTTAACCTGGCAGGCAACCAAATAACACACAGCCGCTCGCTCACTCCCCCACCCCCGATGGGACAGGGAGAGATTCGGAAGGGTAAGAATGAGAAAAAACTCGTGGGTTGAGATAAAGACAGTTTAATAGAACAGAAGAGGGAAAATAATACTAGTACTACTAATAATGATGATGATGATGATGATGATAGAATATACAACATGAGTGATGCACAATGCAATTGCTCACCACCCGTGCTGACCGATAACCAAGTAGTGATCGGTACTTCCTGGGTCACGCCTACCATTCATATACTGAGCATGGTGTCACATGGTATGGAATACCCCATTGGCCAGCTGGGCTGGCTGTCCTGGCTGTGCTCCCGCCCAGCCTCTGCTTGGTAGCATGGCAGCTGTCCTTGGCAGGGTACTTTGCAACAACTGAAAACATCAGTGTGTTATCAACATTCTTCTCATACTAAAACCAAACCACAGCATTAGGAAGAAATTTAACTCTATCCCAGCCGAAACCAGGACATATATAAAGTTTGTCCTTTTTAAACCAAGAATGCATCCTGGGCCTGGACTGTATTCCAGGCTTTCCTCTGAGAAAACCATGGTATGATCATACTTTTTCTTATTCATGAGTTAGCAGAGCAAACTGGCTGTACAGCATTCTCTAAGGGACTCCTTTGATTTATTTCAGTGTTCCTGGGATCACGAGGGAAGGGCCTAAAGGAAGGGTAATAGGAAAGGGGAAGAGAACACCGATAATGCAAAATTTCGTTGGTGTCAGTGCAGGGGCAATGAGTTTTCAGATTGTGTCTGTTAAAAGCGGCTAGGCTAAGTTTTTCCAAGTGCCATCAAACTTTGGCAGTTACAGCAACAGAGAGTAATGTAGGGGTTTTTAAACATTAGAAGGAAAAGTCTAAAGCAAAGGTGGATTTCTTCCCTTCTTGTTTAATTATTTCCTTTTCCTGTGAGCCATTAGGAGTACCAAATTTAGCACAGGTTTCTCGGTTTTGGAAAAAATGAACAGTCCCTTCTTATCTTAAATTCATGTCTGAATACTTTATTTTAATGGCTTAATTTGTGCTTAGAATGTTTTTTATTTAAAAGATAAGATTATGTTGCTTTGATAGGGAGTGCAGTCTTGACTTTGTCTTTTCTTTGCTCCTTTCTTTTTTCTTTTCATAGGTCATGGGAATAGAATTCATGGTTATGTTTAGATCACTCATTCACTTATTTCTTTTTTTAGTATTTTAAAGCTGTTTTATGGTTTCCCATCCACTGTTTTTTTTGGCAGAGATTTTTTTACTGAAAAAAGCTAAAAGAAAAAGTTCCACAGTAGTGAGGTGCCATATAAAACAGGATCCCACACCTATAACCTAAATGGCCAAAAATTATAAATACCTACCATTAGAAAGCTTATTTTCAAAGAAATTTGGAAAAGAAATATTTTATTACAATTTAAAATCTTACAACATGCAATATGTATTAAAATCGGATTTTACTTACAGGAAAAATAGTAATGGGACAAATGTAATACATATAATATTATTTGGACCTGGCAGCTTTATACTGGTTGAAAAAGTGTCATTTTGGTTTTCTAGTATATTTCTAGTATATTTTAAGTCCCACTATATTTTTAAAGTGTAGAATTAGTTCCAGCATTTGCCATTTAATTAATCATTTGGTTTCAAACATTCTTCCTTGCCCTCAGAAATGTAGATACTATTTATGTTAAATTAAGGAATGAAAAATTGTTCTTAAAAACCTAAGGCATTACCAAATTGTTTTTTGTGAGGTTATCAGATATGTTAGGTGGTCACACTGATTGAGTTTATGTAGAATCAATTACAAAAAGTTGCTTTGTGCCATCACTTGTTTCCTGGTGAGAAATGAGTTGTGTCTGGCTATAAGACACTTTCCATACCATATATCCCCTTCCTTATAAATACATGTCGGGCTTACATTTGAGGAGGCATACATGCATTTTTCTGATATTTTTAATCCATTCGTTTTCGTAGTAGGAAACTAGTGACAGGAAGATTCCAGGTTGCCAGTAGTACTGTCACTTAATAAACTGGTATAATTTAATATCACATATTTAGAATTGTGGCACTGCAAAACTATCAATAAAGTATCCATTGAAAATAAGGAGTAACGAAAGCTTTGTAGTTCATGTATCTTTTCATATGGTACTCCTGAAATGACTTTTCATCAGCGTGGAAAGAATCAGAAATCCAATTTAATATTGTTTGCTTGGAAGATTTGCTTTTATGAAAGCTGATTTAAAAAGCATTTAAAATACACTATTCATTTTTTAAAAATCGAAATCTGTAAGACATGAAATATGAGGGATATGTTTTATTAACTGTATTGTTTTCAGGCATGTACATAATTAAAAAATAAACTCATTTTTCCTCCACTTCTTTCAACAAAATGTGCTTGTCTGAATAATCTACAGTTTATTACATGAATAAGTCTTTGATTCATCTTCTTGATTAGTACATGGAGTATATTTAATCTTGAGTGAGAAAAGTGTACGAATATCTTAAAAAGGCAGAGTTTCTTTTGAGAGAGGAGACTAAGGAAAACAAATGCCTGAATAAAGTAATTGTCTTTGACCTTTGCTATAATAAAGAAGTATTTTCTTCTTTTGAAAGAAAATTCTAAGTATATTAAAATGTTAGACTACGCAGAAAACTGGATTTTGCTATATTTTTAAGGATAGACTTGTGATTAGTCTTTTCAAATACGCTGATTACAGTGTTGAGTAATTCAGGTTCACTTATGCTTAAGATTGTGAAGTTGCATTTATCAGAGTGCTAAAGTTTTCAAGATTTGGATGGTTTTAAAATGTCAGTTATTCTGTTAATTCCACCTATTGAGTCCATTGAGGTAAGTTTAAAGTTGCAATAACAGTTGATGATCAGCATGATCACGTCTGTCAATTTATGATACAAATTATGTTTTTACAGATACACCCAAAAAGAAATCTTAGCCCCAATTCTGTGTTCATATAGAACTAGAAAACTTGCAACTCAAATACTCAAAAGTTAAGAAATGCAAAAAAAGAGTGCTTGTACAACATCAATTTAACCCCTCTGTTGTTACACTTTTTGTATGAACTGTATACGTAATGAAGGCAAAAATACAGTTGAAGCTAATTTCTACTTAGTTATATAAAATCAGAAAATAACTGCTGATCAGTGCAAATTATTGATATATTTTAGATGGCAGATCACAAAGAAGTAATGAGGGGCATTGAGCGGCATCCTGGAGTCCAATATCCTGTTCTCACACCTAATCTTCAAGGTTTTCATTCTGCTGTAAGTGCCTTCACAGAAGATGTCCACAATTACCTCTTTCATGTTTCAGACGCTTTCAGTTCAGTACCATAAACTATCTATTCAATGTCATATAACCTGTCCTGCTAGAAATAAGCTATAGGTTTTTTTTAATTAAAAACTCTCAGTTTTTGTTGTGAAAAATAGGCGAATTCACAGAGTGATGTTAAGCTCTATATATTCATATTTTAATGAAAGTATTGATCAAACAGTCTTTGCAAGTTCCTATAAATGATGCTTGTGTATAAAGAGAAAGACAGTTCCTTCTCCTTCTTTGACTTGGCCCTAGAAAAGTTGCTGAAGAGTGTCTTCTTATTGGAAAATAGTGAAGAAGAATGAGGAGAGAGTCAATTAAATGAAAATGCTTTATAGGAATGTATTAGATTTCTTAAATTCTGCATTTTATTTTGGTAGGGTTTGAAAGTTTAAATTGTTTCAGTTCATACAAAATAAATACTCAAAATTATAGACCCGAAATGTTTGGAATTGCGAAAATGGAGCAGTTCAGTCTTCTTAAAACATACACATTGATAGTCAAATCTTTACACTTCTTTGTTTTCTGAAGATTTTTCATGCTTCTATGCTTTTGTCTTGATGTAGGATACATCGTATTTGGAAAGTTTGATGGACATTTGTGGTGTAGTCTATCATTCAGTTTCTATACTGCGTATGAAATCTCTGTTAAAACAGAATCCTGTACAAAGGCGAGTTAACTATCAATAGTCAGATTTATAGCGCCACAGTTTTGTCTGCAATGGTAGCTTGTATGAGTTTAATTAATTAATTAAAATATTAGATTTAAATTTAGCAGAATTAAATCTACTATATCTCTGTATCGTATTTAGTGATGTAATGAAAGGAAAACAATGCAACAGTAGTTGTAGGTTATTGCTGAGTTCTTTCTTGCTGCTATTTTTTTTTTTCTTCCCTCTATTTCAAAGGGTATTTGTTCCTGTAAGGGTTGCTGAAGCTTAGACATTATCCTGCAGAAGCAGAGAGAAAAGGGAGAAGCTCCATTCCTTTTCAGAGAACAAGAGTATCACTGGAGAGTGAGAATTAATTAATTAGCTATTGTCCTAAGCTTAAATGTTTTCTTCTCCTATCATTTGGGCTTTCAGCATTCTAGTTTGCCTCTAGATTTACTGAGTACCGAGGTACTGAGTACAAGCTCAGGCTAATGGCCGCTTCAGTGAAGTCACCACATTTACACATTTTCTAGACTGGTGTTTGCTCTGAGACTTTTTCTCAGAGACTCTCTCATTTTCCATATGATCCATATTGACTATGACACCAAGACCAATGGAGCCCTTGATCCTAGAGTTGGCTCTAACACGGAAATCCCTGTTGGTTATTGTTATTGCTGCTCTAGGCACATGCAGGCACAGAGCTTTCCTAAGCATGAGAAGGACTTCCTGGCATTCATGAGGAACAGGCTTTGTATAGAGGATGGATATTTCAGAGTTGTTACATGAATCTTTTCCTTTTCTGAAAAATGAATATAAGTATCAACCATTGTTATTTTCATAGTTGGTTCGTATGATTTCCTACACCTTAATACCTTTATCATTTATCACTTTAAAAATATGTTTACCTAATTGCTAAGAAGAGGAAGGAAATATGCCATGGTGAATGAACTCAAAGTTTGATTCAATCTGTTTTTATGCAACAGATTTAAAAAAAATTGGAATGAAACTTATACTTAGATATGGAAGATATAACGTACTTCAAAATTCTAGAATGTCATATGGAATTAAATGCTTAATCTAATCTTTTAATATAGTGTTATGATTCTGTTTTATTGAAATTTATTTTTCAGATTGCAGCAGGGGCTACAGAAGTCTCAGTATTTGGTGCAGCATCTGAATCTTTTAGCAAAATGAATATTAATTGTTCCATTGAGGAAAGCATAGAAAAATTTGAAGAAGTTGCTAAATCTGCAAGGAATATGAATATTCCAGTGCGTGGGTAAATATAAAGATTCTTAAGTAATACAGAGTTATTGGAGTTGCTGTTACAGGGCTTTTTTTGTACCAGTAAAAAAGTATACTACCAAATTTTTACATTTTAGATGAATTGAAATAATAGTTTTTACTGTGATTTTTTTTTTAAATATTGAATATATTTAGTAATTTTGCTTTATGTTTTGTAACTGCTAATGGTGACTAGTTCTCTCTGGAAATTGAAAGAAAACAAGCTGTGTGTATCAACATACCCATTTTATTGTACAAATTTACTTTTATCGTCACAGATGACAGAATAAAATTTATTTTGTGCTGCTGAGAACTCATAACATTGTTGCCTGCACCTTAAAAAATACCATGCATACTTTTATTTTATTATAGTATTGATAATATATCACTTTATACACTGTAGAATCAAGGTATAAAAGTGATAGAACAAATTTACTCCTAAGAAAAAAAAATATTCTCAATATAATTTATTCTGAAAACTCCAGGCATTGAAGTGTTTGGAGTCTCTAGTGCATGAAACTCTGGAATTGTCCAGTATTTATCATTCTCTAGAGTACCTTCTTTTAAACTTGAAATAATCCTGAATGGTACTCGCCCTTGAACAGTCTTTCCTTTTCATTTCCATTTTCTTTTTCATTACACAGAGCTACTTATCTAAGATTATTTGTGAAGGTCCTTGTGAATGCAAAAAGGCTTACATAGGTTCAAGGAGAAACTCAATAGTGAGATTCATTGAGGATTACTAGTAATACAAACTACATCGTGCTCAGAAAATACCTGGACTTGAAAATGGATAGAGGTAGATACCTCAGAGACTAAGTGCTTGAAAACCTGTCTAGGAATAAATACTGGGATCTCTCTTTCCTCCAGAAATACTGATGAGGTAATGCTACTGCTCACTTTTTGCAAAATAGTGTGGTAGTTTGAGCATTTGTCTTGAGAAAGGGAGATCTGACTTCTAGTTATACCTCAGCCTCAGAGGATCACAGAATAACAGAATGGTTTAGGTTGAGAGGGACCTCTGGAGGTCATCTTGTCCAACCCAAGGATTTTAATACACACACATCCAACCAAGGATAGCTCATAAATGCTTGGGTCCTTACTCCCTAGCCTGGTTATATGTTTCAGATGGAAAATCACTGAATAGAGAAGTAAGAACTTTCACTGTATTAAGAAACAAGAACTTGTACCAGAGTTTAAATATTCTACCTAGCTGCTAATCTGTCAGGTAGAGTCAGGGTTTGCCTTCCTGAGCAACTTCTCTTAAAAGAGGTCTGAAGGTCTCTACCACCAAGGTTTGCCACATTTTTCTGGAACTAAATTCGGAGCTGGACACGTAACGAGCAATTTGAGTTCTCCAGGAGGATTAAGCTCAGGGATGTCTGAATTTTATGTCCCAGATAGGTGTGGATAAGGGAATAGGCAGTCAATTCAGAAAAGACAGCATGTATATGGCAACAAACCTTAGGCACGTGGTGAATATTTTTACAGTAAACTTTTGTTTTCTGGTTTCGTCAGATGTCTAGGCACGTCAGGCAATATTTTCTGTTTCATATTGCTGTATTTCACTAACTAAATTCAACCAAGTGACACAGTAGAGGCAACCAACCATCAAGGGAAACCTCAAAGCTTATGCATTGTATATGTTTTTGCATAGCTATGGGTGTCAACAAACGGACCTTTCAGCTGATCGAGAAGAAGTAAACTGCAGGTGATGAAGAAGCCCCTGTGGTGTACTCTAGATTGATGTTGGAGCTTAAAATGCTAACTTATGTTCTGTGCACTAGTTTTCACATGTTTAAGAAAGTGGCAACCTGCTGCTTTTTTTTCCACAGATTGTATGTCTAAGGCATTTGTAATATGTGAGTAGCAGTTATTCTGGCACTGATACAGTGATGTGATGGAAATGACTGTTCCCATGATAGGATTCTACAACATTCCCATACATTTATTGTACTGTCTGATGAACTGTGTGTGGCAGGTTTTTTTCTGCACACAGCAGAAGAAAATGAGAAAGTAGCAGGATGGGAAGGCACATACAGAGAGGAAGAAGTAAGAAGCAGAAAATGGTCAAACAGAAGCAGAGCACCAAAAAAAAAAAATAAGAATAAAAAGAAGGAAAACAAAGCAAGGAGATATAAAGAGAGGGGTATCAAGAACCAGGTAATGAAGCAAAGAGAAAAAACAGCAGTACAGAGATGAAGAGAAATGAGATAATTGAACTCAGAGAAAATACAATCAGTTTGTGTTTTAAAAGTGCTTACTTTGTGCGTCCAGTACAAAGATCTGTGATTTCACTTTGCAAACCTAGGCAAACCTCACACCGTACATGCAGGGCAATTTTATTGAGTCTGTTGTGCCAGGTGCAGTATGTTACACAACGCTTCAACAGTGGACTGCTTAATATCAGATATGCTACAAAGTGAACAGATTCGAAGTAGTGAATGGAAATGAAAGCTATAGCTTTCTTCCTTAGGCTTACAGGTCTAAGAGAAGTGAATCATTCGGAAGTAGGAAGCCAAGAATCATTCGATTTGTGGGATTATAACCGAGTACAGAATCCAGTTAGAGAGGATGAGTATATTGAAGAGAAACTACATTTATGTTTATGTTACAGCTATCTTCATCACAGAATATTAGCTTGGGAACTAATTTATTCAGTGAAAATTAGAGGTTGAGGCATCAGGAGATAAGATGCTGGACTAATGTTACACTTCAACAAATCAAAAATTTTAGGAGAGGATTGTCTGGTGTTTGTCCAGAGGGATCTAATATAACTCAATAATAAAGTAGCTAATCTGCTAAAAATCTGCTGAGAATCTAAATTGCAGAATATGGAGCCTTATTTCATAATAAAAAAACCTAACTGAGGTAATAATTCTGAGTATCTAAAACATCCATTGAACATGGATTTCAGTATATGAAAATATTGAAAAGAAAGTTTTGAGCATGCTAATAAGTTAGAAGATAATAGAACTGGTTAACACAATCCGTTTGGACTTTGAGTACACTATTAAAAAATCCCTCCCAGGGAGATTTTTGAGGAGACAAAATAGTAAGTAATGAGAAATAAAATGTTGCTATGGATCAGAGTCTAGACAAATATGTTTTCAAGAGAATAATTACCAAGTATTGTGATACATTGAGTTTTGTTCCTGCATGTTCACACTCATTCTTAGTATATTAATGACAAAAGGAGAGCCAA